GGTTCACTATGAGTGTCAAAACCCATTCTAGGCTGATGTGACTTGGGTCATCCTATAAAATAATATTTCAATGCAGTCATTCAAGTGTGTTTCTATTTCAAATTGGGCATAATATCAACTAGGTAAGCTCCATTGGGGTTTGCTTCTATATGGTTAACAATGAGTGTCAGAACCCATTCTAGGCTGATGTGACTTGGGTCATCCTATAAAATAATATTTCAATGCAGTCATTCAAGTGTGTTTCTATTTCAAATTGGGCATAATATCAACTAAGTAAGCTCTATTGGGGTTTGCTTCTATATGGTTCACTATGAGTGTCAGAACCCATTCTAGGCTGATGTGACTTGGGTCATCCTATAAAATAATATTTCAATGCAGTCATTCAAGTGTGTTTCATTTCAAATTGGGCATAATATCAACTAGGTAAGCTCCATTGGGGTTTGCTTCTATATGGTTCACTATGAGTGTCAGAACCCATTCTAGGCTGATGTGACTTGGGTCATCCTATAAAATAATATTTCAATGCAGTCATTCAAGTGTGTTTCTATTTCAAATTGGGCATAATATCAACTAAGTAAGCTCTATTGGGGTTTGCTTCTATGTGGTTCACTATGAGTGTCAGAACCCATTCTAGGCTGATGTGACTTGGGTCATCCTATAAAATAATATTTCAATGCAGTCATTCAAGTGTGTTTCTATTTCAAATTGGGCATAATATCAACTAGGTAAGCTCTATTGGGGTTTGCTTCTATGTGGTTCACTATGAGTGTCAGAACCCATTCTAGGCTGATGTGACTGGGGTCATCCTACAAAATAATAATTCAGTCATTCAATGCAGTCATTGACGTGTGTTTCTATTGCAAAGGCATAATATCAACTAAGTAAGCTCTATTGGGGTTTGCTTCTATGTGGTTCACAATGAGTGTCAGAACCCATTCTAGGCTAATGTGACGAGGGTCATCCTACAAAATAATATTTCAGTCATTCAATGCAGTCAGTTAAGGTACAGCTGGAAAGTAACATTTTGGTAAAAAATTGCTATACCTGCCCAATTGAAAAAAGCCTATGGAAAATCATCTCCAATTATCACCTAACTTACTATTGATAATTAGTTGAAAGTTAGGTGTAAAAATTCACATGCAAATGAGCTAATTATCAACTTAATTAACGCTTAATTTGCAACTTAATTAACGATTAACTACCACCAATATGCAAATGAGCTATTTACGTAAATTAGTTGAAAGTTAGTTGTAAGTTTGATGTAAGTTAATCTCTAATTATCACCTAACTTACTATTGATAATTAGTTGAAAGTTAGGTTTAAGTCAGATTTGTGACATCTCAAAAATGACTCGCTTCTTTTTTGCTTCTCTTCACTCGGAGATTTTTGCTTCATCTTGAACTATTTTGTGACGGAATATTCATCTTAATTAGGATCTTTCAGAACAGACAACATTGAACTTGAACTTTTGAAATTTCACAGCAAGAGGAGGGAAAACCCTATGATTCAATTGATGACATACGATTTCCTCCTTCGCACACCTCCTTTTGTCGAAAACGTACCCTCCATCTTGGTTTTCAAAGTTTTCAAATTGACCTAGTTTTAAACCAATCAAAGATCGACTCGCTAAACCAATCAGCGACGATGTCATCTCAAAACAGATTTACATTATAAGCGTATGTCATCTTTGAACCCTGGGGTTTCTCCACCTCTTTTTTAAAGCTATTCTATTTTGCAAATTTTTAAGATTCATGAAAAGCATGTGAAAACATCATTATTGCCATCAACAACTAAAATCAGAACACAAACATTAGACTATAATGTTACATAATAAGGACGTAACAGATATAATCAAAAATATGTTTTGAAATGTCTTTGATCTAACAATCATTATTTAGAAGAGCACATTTGGATTACTTGTGAAATATAGGTAACCCATGTTAGTACCTAAATTGCATTCTAGGATTAATATTATATGATCTGTTTCAAAAAGATTTTTAAATTCATAAACATTTCAGACAGAAGTATGAATAAGATTTAATATACATTGTATTCATGTTCTACATACCCTTATAATAATGTTGACCAAATTTCATGGTAGTATACGCACCATTCACGTTGTAATTCTCAATTTTATGAGAGAAATATCTCTCACATGTTTTCTTTTTCCACCATCTTGAAATTAAATTTAGGGGGTTTGTATTTCTAAATCATGGGCCTAATTTACGACTAATTATCATTATAATCATCCTTTATGTTAACTATCAACCAATTATCTACTTCAGAACAAAAAAGTTTTAATTTACCACTTACTATCACCCTCAAACATTTCATATCTTAATTATCAACTAAAAATCAGAAATCAGCATTATTGTAAGTTAATTTACGTTTAACTTGCTACTGATAATTAGGCCATAATTATCATTGATTTAATTAACGCTTAACTTTAATTCCAATTGCCAGCAGAATTGTTGATAATTAGTTGTAAATTAGTTGGTAATAAGTTGGTAATTAGTTTTATTTTTCAATTGGGTGCACATGTTATTTTCTGGTACAAAATAAAGTATGAAGGCATGTATCAATTTCCTTGCTTTTTTCAGGAAAGTATCATTACATTGTCTTCTTTTAGAATATCTGGTAGGCGTTCAAAGGGAACTCCAGGGAATTCTGATATTTCACACTTCCTGTTTTTCCAAATTTTCTTTCAAAGTTTCCAGACAACACAGGAGCTACCATTGACCTGTTTCCAGGTTTACTAAAAGTAGACAGTGTAATGATACTTTCCTGAAAAAAGCAAGCAGGAAATACACACATGCCTTCATACTTAATTATGTACCAGAAAATAACATGTGCAGGTATAGCAATTTTTTACCAAAATGTTACTTTCCAGCTGAACCTTAAGTGTGTTTCATTTCAAATTGGGCATAATATCAACTAGGTAAGCTCCATTGGGGTTTGCTTCTATATGGTTCACTATGAGTGTCAGAGCCCATTCTAGTATGTGACTTGGGTCATCCTACAAAATAATTTGGGTCAGAGAAGTTCATATTGTCCTAAATGATTGGGAAATTGTTTAAAATAGCAAGATTTTAAAATTAACAAACAATTAGTTATATCGGTATAATAACTGGTTCCTTCCTTTCTTTACCCCTGATTCATACTCTGAAATCATGGAACTGTACAACAGCAAAGTTTGCCAAAAATTCTTTTCTATTTTTTTAAAAAATTTCTTCTTTTTTTCAACATTTTTTTCAATTTTTTTTTCAAAGCGAGAAGATATGCCCTGGAGCAGGAGATATGGAGGTTCTGAATGGAAACCTCAAAATCAAGATACTGGATATATCTTACCAACTTATCTCCCTAAAACTATACTTGGCATATGATAAGGTTCCCCTCTGTAAATTAGATATTTTCCTTGGTTAGGATGCATATTTGAATAAAATCAAAATTATTTTACTCTTATCTATAAAATATCTTCCATGCATCATATGGGCTTATTACCCTTCTCCCGATTATCAGCAATAAGTTAATTGAGTCTCAACCTGTAAAATATATGAACCTGGCATATATTGAATTCCAGTGACCTCTTTATTGGGAGATACGTATTTCTAGCATTTTAAGTTGTGTGATATTATATTAGTACTTTAATACCAGTATATCCTTTCATTATAGTCACATATTATGTATTGAACTTGTATCTTGTGCCATTGCAAACTTGTACTTTTAGTTAGATTAAAGCATATATACTAAAGGGTGTTGCAAATGAGAAATTGATTCAAAATAGATCTGTGCAGCAGTACACAGAAACCTGTAATGTGGAACACCTCTGATAAAGAGACAATTTTCAGAATTTCAAGAATAACTGACTTAATGTTAAATGAACCTCTGTGAGGTGTTCCACAGGTTTTACTGTACATAAGTTTGAAAGATAAGAGTAGTGACATTTAATAATTTATATAGTACTAAAAATGATGCTTCAATGATTATGAACACTGGCCCAAGATGCTATATGCTAATTCTTATGCTTAAGACAGGGTTGTATAACTTATTGATGTTCCTAGAGGTTTGAACATTTTTTAAATAGTATTTGAATTTTTTGAAAAATGGTTTAGTTGATCATTTATCACATTTTCCACAACAAGAAAGGCTGATTGATTTTGGGAAGCTCCTCAAGGGATACATGGGCCAACCAGAGGGCCCTTACAATCACCGACTGATCAGGCTTTCTTTTTCCAATTATCTATTTTACAGGAACATCAACCTTGGGGAAGATGTTTCCTTTGATTAGTTGGAAATGAACAATGAACTCAATAATACATACTCTATCTTATTGTTTTACGAAGCATTTCACTTTGGGAATTGCATACTTGATTGGTGTCTCATTTGCCGCCATCGACTGGGAGCAATATTTTAAAAAATGTTTTAAATAAAATTTGTATGAAATGCTTGTGACACAGAAATAAACTATTTTATACTTTAAAATTGATACTCAGCTTTATC